GCCTTTTCGTTAAGCATCGAGCGTATCGTGAGAAGAGAAAAAGAGTCCATTGGAGTAGTAAATTGGGTGTAGAAAGGGGATCCTAATCAATAGTTAGCATGCAGCCTCAAAACCTTTGAAGATGTACCCTCTTGAAGAAATACATTATGTGCATCAATGAGTTTAGGGTTGTTAGGGTTTAGGTGGTTCTGTGGCTTGTAACGGTTTAGGGTTTTTAGGGTTTAGGGTTTTTAGGGTTTAGAGTTTTTAGAATTTAGGGTTTTTAGGGTTTAGAGTCTTTGGGGTTTAGGTGTTTTTAGGGTTTAGGTGCAAGGGTTTTGGGTCACCCTTAAACCACACAATCACAGCTGGCACAGGCTACCTTTCTTGACACCCCTCCATGGCCAGCTGACTCCGTGAGCTGGACAGCCGGCAGACATTACGGATGGCAGTCTGCACAAGGAGTGATACCACGATTAATGGCATCAATCCGCTGCCATGTGTTGACATGACCTTGGCCCAGGCGTCTACAGTGTCTCTTGTGAAACTTCTTGCCCTTACGGGTAGTGTAGACTTGCACGTTCTGACCAGGGTCTTGTCGGTTCGTTCGGCCCGGAAGATAGGCCGCTTTTGTTGTTGTGCGAGGTCTCGTACACCAAGCACAGGTGGATCTGATCCAGAACAAAATGGACTGGATCGCGAGGATATGGATGATCAACATGTAGGCAAAGAATGCCAAGTCAATGTTCTCGAGCTTGTCTTCCTTTGGCTGCCCCGTAGCCACCCCAAAGGAAGCGAACAGGCACGCCATGACCAAGCCCCTTGTGAGCGGCATGCCCTTTACTAGCTCTGACACTCTTGAGCCGGATAGCGCTTTCGTACCCAAATCCGCCCAATTAGTCTTAGTAGGTTCCTTCTGAACTCTAAGCTGATTCTTCTGGACACAGTCTTGTACCCAGAGCTCTTTCATGGAAAGATGCTTAACCTTCCCAGAGCCTTTACGTGTAGCGATTCCTTTCGCTGCGCTCGAATCGGTCTTCATCGTAAGTTTCGTCCCTTTGAAGCCTACACGCTCCCAAATCTGGACTGTGAGAAGTCCAGCGGCAGCGCCTCTTACCAGAGCATAAAACTCAGCCTCTCCCGAACTTAGGGCTATCACTGACTGCTTCGCACACGAAGAATCAATGAGGTGCTTTCCGAAGCGCTCTGCATAGCTGGACATTGACTTGCGTGTCCGTTTGCAGGCTCCCCAATCGGAGTCCGTAAGCACGACTGCCTCGTCGGGCTGCTCTTGGTAATCAAAGTGCCAAACTTCCTTGGGATACTTCTTTAAGTGTCGACCAAGGTGCTTCAATTTCAGCTCGTGCTCGACCGTAGGACATG